CGTCTGTTATTTTAGCCTAAAGTTGTCACAAAGATAAAATAATACAAAAATACACAAATCGGAGTAATTTTACAATGCCGGAAGACAGTGCTTCAGAAGTTGAGGCTTCTCAGATGCTTGTAGAATTTCCATACGCAGTGCACCTTCAGGCCAACTATAACTGAAAAAGAAAGTAACAGTTAACATAAAATTATTGGCAAAAAGTTATATGCATGAGGACATGTCATTTATATGAAGTGACACAGAAAACAGTAAAAACGCTTTGATATAAGGTTTGTTCGTACAGTAGTCGATGTCTTGTCGGTGACTGTGACTGGGATCCGGCCGTGTGAATTCAGTCTATATCGCGCAGCAGAGTTAACAGAATTTGTGTGGCTGGATTTTGGACACGGTCACTGACAGGTGGGCGACTGTTGTACGAAGAGGACTTTAAATAGAGTTAAATATGATTTATGTCTTCTTCTATCTCCCCCAAAGTAGTGGTGGAGGATGAGCAAAGAGGTTCCTCTTCTTACTATCACACCCCATGTTCTAGTAATATGGGGACATGTATTATTTTATTAAGACTGTGTTACACTCCGCAAGACAATTGCATCGAATCACTTGCAGTTGCAAGTTTGTGAATTGGTAACCTCTAAGCTAATAAATATATCGCTAAAGTGTGAGCGCTATCATTAGATGATTGTAACTTTTGACAACAATTTGATATATGACATCAAGCTCGCCTGATTTAAACTATTACCGAATTTCTTTGACACTATTTGTGCATGAGTACCAAGTATATTCTGGTTTTCCATGTTTATCTTCAAATTTGAACAATTTTCTACTATTACCATTGACGTTAAAAAGATTTTAACCTAACCTATCTGTACGATTTTCAGACTTGACTAGCCAATACACGTATGCACATGCGATCAGTTGGGCTGAATGTGGAGTCATCCGCTTTCAAAAGCCGCTGGAGCAGCGGTGTCGTCTATCATCTAAAATGCCAAAATACAGGCAGACGCAATCATTGTTTGAGGTGCCGCACTACATATGACGTTGAGTCACATCTAGTTTCCATCAGAAGAAGAGTTAAGGGAACATACGGTATATCCAGGAAATCTGAACCTTATCCCTTTCAATTCCCCCAAAACTTTCAAGGCCAACTTCATCAAGTTAATGGCCGTACGCATATTGCTAGAGCTGCCTCAATAACGGTCAAATTAATCTTCTACCTTGGCCTCGAAGACCTCCAGACCATTCGCCAATTGAAAATGAATGGGGTATGACGGGAAGATTAGCGTCCTCTTCACCTCATTATCCACCAATTGTAGCAGACGTTCAGAATCAACAAAAACTAGTAGAAGCATGCCCCAACCTCTGGATAAATGAACATTGGGGTTCATTTTTACGGAATTCAAGCGACGCTGGAAATTCAATCACTACTGTGTATAAAATTCCATTCAAATGAATCTGTTTCCTTTACCACTCAGATTTATGTGTGTACCAACAAATCTGTGGCCAGAGCCTAAACAGAAGTTTCGATCAATATAACCACAGATTTCCACTTAACTTTTTTTGCAAAGAGGCTTTCCAGATATTACACAAAGTTAGGTCGTTTTTATTTTGTTCAGAATGGCAGGTCCACGATGAAACGTTGATCTACATAGTCCATCATATTTATACATGAACTATTACAGAAACAGGGTGACAAGCATGTGCTTAAACATGATAGTAACTATAATCTGAATTGTCCTTGATTATCATTCAATATTTAGTATCCCTGTGTAAATGCGACACGAGATTGAGGGATAAATTATATGTAATAGATACAAGGTTGATTAAACGCAACACATTCTATACCAAGCTCAAGAAGTTTGACCTCGTCAGTGTTACACAATTTGGCAATTAGAAGTAATGGGAAGTTACATATCCAGATATCAAATAGGTTCTTCACTCATCGTTAGTTTAAAGCTACACATAATCTTTCAGAAAGTTAGATATCTGAATTTAACTTCAAAAAATTATAACATATACATAGTTGTATTATCATGCATCTATTCTTCCTAGATATACTAAGTGACATATAAATCCGAACACCCAGTTTAAATGGTTTTATTTTAATAAAATTTTGTATAAGTACTTAATGAAGCATAATAAGTAAATGATAAAAATTTCAAAATGATTGCACTGCTTTAAAGCCCTTTGACCTTTAATAATGTGTGGATGCACCCTGATGTGCTACGCATGCTCCAACGCGCCTAGGCATGCTTCTGATCAGGTGGTCAATGTCCTTCTGTGGTATCTCTTTCCAGGCAACCACCAACTCCTCTCGAAGTGCTTCTAGAGTCTGAGAAGGACGTTGCAAATTGAGCAATCTCCTACCCATCATATCCCACACGTGCTCAATTGGGGATAAGTCGGGAGATCTTGGTGGCCATGGTAACAATGTGACATCATTATGTTGAAAGAAGTCTATTGTGACTCTTGCAACATGTGGTCGGGCATTATCTTGTTATAAAGTTGGATCTGCCAGGGTTTCAAGATAGGGTAAAAGATGGGGTTCTAGAACTTCGTGGATATAACGCTGCGCGTTCATGTTACCTCTGATGAAGATTAAAGGTGACCTGGAACCATAAGCTATAGCACCCCAAACCATAACTCCAACAGTGTGATGAACATGTCTTTCAACAAAAAACTGTGGATTCCTCCTTTCACCACGTCGCCTTCTAACCCTGGTACGACCATCGTGCATGCCTAAACAAAATCGAGACTCGTCACTAAAGATAATACTGTTCCATTCCTAATCCCAGAGTGACCGTTGTCTGCACCACTCAAGGCGATTACGTCGGGAGAGAGTTAAAGGGACGACCCAGTGTGGCCGGTATGAAAACAAGCCAAAACTGCTCATTCGTCGGTAAACACTTCGCATGCCAATAGGTCTTCCGTGTTCTGCAAACCATTCATTTGCAATGGACCTAGTAGTGGAGAAACGGTCCCTTAAGGCCAATAATCTTAGGCGGCGATCTTCACGGTCTGTTGTTCTACAGCGGCGTCCAGTGCCCCTTGCTCTTTGCGTACGGCCTTCTCGAAGCCATGCCTGACAACACCTAACCACAGTGTCTACACTTCTTTGCACTCTAACTGCAATTGCCCGAAAAGAAAGTCCAGCTTCCCGAAGTTCCACTATACGGCCCCTAACAAACTCACCAAGTTGACGAAATCGTAGAGGTCTCCGTACTCTAGGCATCGTAACCGATCGTAAAGGATGTCAAGAACCAAAATCCACCAACGTTGATTCTTTACTGCGGCTGAAATATTCATTTTTAGAGGGTTAGTGAATTAAAAAGAAAGCAGTATAAAAACCGGAATGTCCAACTGATAAGGCTGAAAATTTTTTCACTTGTTATTTACAGTAAGATAAATACATTCACCAACTTTTATTAAAATAAAACCATTTAAACTGGGTGTTCGGATTTATATGTCACTTAGTATATTTTAATGATATCACTTTCGTTTGAAAGAGTATTCACCTGCACTCCTAACGAATGCTCAATCTCGTCAGACTAGTCAAGCTTGTGGCGGCTAGATGGTGCCTTGCAAACGCGTATGTCTAGATGTATTTTCATCCTTATAATACAACACCCTTGTATTGCAAATGTTAGTCGTATACTTATTGTCTCATCATGCAACATTCCTTTTTGTTTTGTTACCAGAAGGATGAACTTGACTGTATAAAATTCAAAATTTATTGCATTTTATCAAGATTATTCTACATCGGTAAATTATCTTTAAGCATCAATAATTTACTTTATATAAATACAGGTTCTGAGTATATACTGCTTTTTGTTCCATTCCAAGGAGGCCAGTGAACCAATATCAACTGCCTATTGAGAGAGCTGATCATTGTGCCACGAAGGGCTTTACTGTAACTTACCAACCTTCAGCTCTTAACCTCCACTTCTAATGTAGGAACTTTTTGGATCGAAGGATTTATGAGAGCTGAATAGCCATGATAAGTGCTTTAAACACACAAAGTACATGGGTTATGTGGTAAAATTCGAACTAACTTGCAAACATTGAACTATGTTGAATTACCTAAAAAATTGCATATTAATCCTTCATTGATCCTACTTACCGTTATTATATCTCACGGACAATGAGGTCTTGCTGGTCCAGAAACCTGACAAATCCAAGCATATTTTGCATATAAATTTCAAGTGCAGCGCTACCTCGACATTAGCACCTCTAAGGTAGACAACTCGAAATGCTTCTCATTACATAATATATTCCAGATCAAGTTCAGGCAAACCCTTTTTACACATTCGACGTTTTCCAGTAAAGAAAAACAGATATTTTTGTATGTGTAGGTCGCAACTCATTTTTTAGCCACAAGAACGATATAGCTCTCACTCCCAAGCCTTTAATGAAGTTTACATAGGAATTTTCCTCGACGAATGGGTATCATTCTCATTTTGCTGAAATGTATTAGCCTTCAAGACCTTTCAAAGGGTGATGGATATCACATTTTCTCATGGAAGGCTAGTACTAAAAATCCTCAATATTGCCCATACAACCATGCGAAATATACAAATCTTAGGGTCATCTGGATTCTCAGTTTTGGCTGTGATATCCTTTAATCATTTATGGAAGTACAGCCGAAGATAACATTTTCTTCTGACCTTAGGTTGATAAATAGAAACATATTATTTCATATGCTCCGATTAACCAGGGACCCGATTCTAACTGGATTTCAGTTACAGAAATTAATTTCGATGTCGTCTTGTTGCCACGCATCTGATCCGCTATGACGATTTCACAATGCCGTGTGAGTTTAGATACAGAAATGGGTAAGAATTAAGAATTGAAATTATTATAACGAACCATATGCATGACGGCTTGGAAAAATCGAATTTAATTTTAATGACGAAATTCCAATAGAAACAGGCCCCAGAAGTCAAACAAAATTCAACCGCTTTTCGTACTACGTACTACGATCAATAAATTCATCACTGTTATGGAAAAGTGCTTTATTCATGTACTTAAAAAGTCATCTACTGCATCTATTGTAGTCAGTGTCACTTAAAAATCCGTAACAAGAAATGAGTACTTAACTAGTTTATCATATAGTAAATACTGAACAGTTAACATGCACGTCTGTTATTTTAGCCTATAGTTGTCACAAAGATAAAATAGTACAAAAATACACAAATCGGAGTAAATTACAATGCCGGAAGACAGTGCTTCAGAAGTTGAGGCTTCTCAGGTGCTTGTAGAATTTCCATACGCAGTGCACCTTCAGGCCAACTATAACTGCAAACGAAGATAACAGTTAACATAAAATTGTTGGCAAAAAGTTATATTCATGAGCACATGTCATTTATATGAAGTGATTGAGAAAATAGTAAAAACGCTTTGATATAAGGTTTGTTCGTACAGTAGTCGGTGACTGTGTCTGGGATACGGCCGTGTGAATTCAGTCTATATCGCGCAGCAGAGTGAACAGAATTTGTGTGGCTGGATTTTGGACACGGTCACTGACAGCTTGGCGACTGCTGTACGAAGAGGACTTTTAAACAAAGACATATATCAAGAATTTTATTCTAAATTGTTAAGGACTTAGAATATTTATGAGTAGATACATTACAGAATTTGGACCTGAAATAATTAAAACAAATATTTTAGACGATTTACCTACAACAAAGTTACGTTTTTCTAATATTATTGATTCAGGATTGAACATCTTTCACACGAACATAAGGAGCAGTTATAGAAATATGAATGAACTCCATGCCTTGTTGGATATACTAGATTTTAAATTTGATGTTATAGTGTTAACTGAAACATTTAAAGTATATGATACAAGTTTGATCGAAATTCCCAATTATGATTTATATTATAACGATGGTAGTTTTAATAAAAATGACGGGGTTCTGATTTACGTAAGACAAAATTTGAACAGTGGGTATGAAATTATTAATATAACTCAAACAAAACTTTTACGAGTTATTCTTCAAAAGAATAATAAATGGATACAGATCATTGGTGTGTACAAATCACCCTGTATATTTGTAACAACATTTAACGGTCAATTACAAGATCATCTAGAAAGCAGTAGAAAATTTGACATCAACTTACTCATTGGAGACCTTAACATTAACATATTAGATCATAACAATCAAAATATTCAAGATTATTTAAATAGAATGGCTGAACATGGTTACCTGTCAGCCATTAACGAAATGACAAGAGTAGAAGGAAACAGTGGGAGTTGTATAGATCATATGTTTATAAATTCACGTTTAGAACTTGACAAAATATATTCAGCAATTCTGAAATACAAAATTTCTGATCATTTTCCTACTTTGCTCAAAATCGATATTGAAAGTACATCAACCGAAATTGAAAAGACAGTGAATAATACAAAAATTTACATTGATTATGAAAAAACTAAATAACAACTTACTCAATGAAAATTCGATTGTAGTATATAACGAACCTAATATTGAAAATGCATTTGTCCTTTTTATATCTAGCATTGAAGGCCATATTGCTGAATGCACCAAAACAGTAAAGATTCCACGAACACAAATAAAAAGACAAGCATGTATATCACAAGGGATTATTACCTCCATCAACAAACAAATAGAATTATATAAGGAAACCAAAAAATATTCTTATGATGTTAAACTTTTGAATGAATTTAAATCATATCGAAACAGACTGACAAAAATAATTAAAGAGGCTAAAATTAAATATCTCCAAGACGAGTTTGATAATCTACAAAATTGTTCGTCCAAAATGTGGCAATTTATCAATAAAATACAAGGCAAAAAACAAAACAACAAAATTAGTACAATTAAAAAAGAAAATGGTGAACTAGTGAGTAATGATGTAGATGTAGCAAATGAATTTTGTGAATATTTTTCAAAAATCGAGAAAAGGTTGTCAGATAGCATAAAAAACGCGGAGAAATTAAATTATAGTAAGACCAGATTATATAACTCATTATATCTGAAACCGACCGATACGCATGAAATAAAGACAATAATCAATGAATTGAAATTAAGAAAATCTCCATGTCTAGATAATATAACAGCGTATACTCTCAAGAGAATAAATTGCAACATCTGCGGCATACTATCATATTTAATAAATCCTTGTATGAATAAAGGAATATTCCCTTCATGTTTAAAACACGCTATGGTAAAACCATTATTTAAATCTGGAGAAAGAGAAAAACCCATCAACTATCGACCAATTTCCATCTTAACAAATTTTTCTAAAATATTTGAAAAAGTGTTAAAAAAACGATTCACCGAATTTGCAAAAAAATATAACTTAATAGCGGAAGAGCAATATGGTTTTCAAGAAGGCAAATCTGCTCAAGATGCTATTGTAAAATTAACAAATAAAATATACACGAATCTCGATATTGGCAAACCAACTGCTTGTGTTTTTGTTGACTTGGCAAAGGCATTCGACTCTATTACTCATGAATCGCTTCCAACAACTTTAGAAAACTTAGGTTTCCGGGGAATAACATACAAACTTATAGAACATTATTTGTCAAATCGAACACAGTGCGTGAAAATTAATAACAAATTCAGTGAATCCCATATTATATCACACGGTGTACCTCAAGGCTCAGTATTAGGACCCATTTTATTTAATCTATTCATCAACGATTTGTTCAAAATAAATAGTACAGGTAAAGTTATCGGTTTTGCGGATGATACAGCTATTCTCTATGAAAGCAACCAGTGGCATAGACTAAAAACCACAATCGAACATGATTTCAAAACATTTATAAATTTCTTTTCGGAAAGAACTTTAACAATTAATTACAACAAGACACACTATATAGTATTTTCTTGTAACGACAGGCTCTCACCACAATTTACAAAACCTGAAATTCATACAAGCAGTGGTCTCAAAGAGATTCAGTCAGCCGATAAAATAAAATACTTAGGCGTGATTTTGGACAAACACTTAAAATGGGATACCCATACAGAGTACCTTGTGAAGAGACTGAGGTGTATTATTCCAAAATTCAGGTACTTCAGAGATATTCTAGATAAAAAATATCTATATAATCTATATTATGCTCTTGTTTATCCTCTATTACTTTACGGAATTTTGGCTTGGGGGGAGTTATGAATAATAATTGCAAAAAGGTTGACGTAATCCAAAAATTAATTCTAAAATTGATCCTCCATAGGGAGATTACTTATTCAAGTGATTTTCTATATGTGGAGGCTCAGCTATTAGATTGCAGACAAATTTATTTTTATTGTGGTCTAATACATTATTTCAAATATTCAAAATACTTTAATCGTACCATTCATAACTACTCAACAAGATTCAATCAAAATTCAATGTGTATTCCACAAACATCAAAAACCATTACACAACGATCTCTGTTTTTCTTGGGACCAAAATTCTATAACTTCATACCAGAGTCATTAAAAGTAATTGAATCAAATAAATCATTTAAAAAACAACTAAAAAAATGGATTTTACAACAACCAAGGTACTCCATCCACGAAATTGTAGATCTGAAAAATCATTATCAAAATCAATAATATTTTACTTACACTAACATCCTTACTTTTACTTCAGTTCTAATTGTCTGGATATTTTTCCTGACATTACCATAATAATTCACCAAATTATACAGTATTAACGGGTTTTTTTTTTCATACACTGACTGTACTATTAGTTTTTATTTTGTACAAACCCAAACACAAGTGCAAACTTTATTTGGGTGCTTTATGTTTATTGTGCACAATATTTGATATTTACTTGTATTTTGTGACAAACATTATTATTATTATTATTATTATTATTATTAAATGTGGTTTATTTCTTCTTCTATCTCCCCCAAAGTAGTGGTGGAGGATGAGCAAAGAGGTCGCTCTTCTTATTATCATACCCCATGTTCTAGTAATATGGGGACATATATTATTTTATTAAGACCGTGTTACACTCCGCAAGACAATTGCATCGAATCACTTGCAGTTTCAAGTCCATCCTGTTTCTTCGATTTGAAGGCACAGGCATTGACCTGCTTAGGGACATTTGTGTGAATTGGTAACTTCTAAGCTGATAAATATATCGCTAAAGATGATTGTAGCTTTTGACGATAATTGGATGTATGACATCAAGATCGCCTGATTTGAACTGTTAACTAATTTTTTTGACACTATTTGTGCATGAGTACCAAGTATATTCTGGTTTTCCATGTTTATCTTCAAATTTGAACAATTTTCTACTATTACCATTGACGTTCAAAAGATTTTAACCTAACCTACCTGTACGATTTTCAGACTTGACTACCCAATACATGTATGCACATGCGATCAGTTGGGCTGACCGTGGAGTCATCCGCTTTCAAAAGCCGCTGGAGCAGCGGTGTCGTCTATCATCTAAAATGCCAAAATACAGGCAGACGCAATCATTGTTTGAGGTGCCGCACTACATATGACGTTGAGTCACATCTAGTTTCCATCAGAAGAAGAGTTAAGGGAACATACGGTATATCCAGGAAATCTGAACCTTATCCCTTTCAATTCCCCCAAAACTTTCAAGGCCAACTTCATCAAGTTAATGGCCGTACGCATATTGCTAGAGCTGCCTCAATAACGGTCAAATTAAGCTTCTACCTTGGCCTCGAAGACCTCCAGACCATTCGCCAATTAAAAATGAATGGGGTATGACGGGAAGATTAGCGACCTCTTCACCTCATTATCCACCAATTGTAGCAGCCGTTCAGAATAAACAAAAACTAGTAGAAGCATGCCCCAACCTCTGGATAAATGAACACTGGGGTTCATTTTTAGGGAATTCAAGCGACGCAGGAAATTCAATCACTACTCTGTATAAAATTCCATTCAAATGAATCTGTTTCCTTTACCACTCAGATTTATGTGTGTACCAAGAAATCTGTGGCCAGAGCCTAAACAGGAGTTTCGATCGATTTAACCACAGATTTCCACTAAACTTTTTTTGCAAAGAGGCTTTACAGATATTACTCAAAGTTAGGTCGTTATTTTGTTCAGAATGGCAGGTCCACGATGAAACGTGATCTACATAGTCCATCATATTTATACATGAACTATTACAGAAACAGGGTGACAAGCATGCGTTTAAACATGATAGTAACTATAATCTGAATTTATGTAATTGATTATCATTCAATATTTAGTATCCCTGTGTAAATGCGACATGAGATTGAGGGATAAATTATATGTAATAGACACAAGGTTGATTAGACGCAACACATTCTATAATAAGCTGAAGAAGTTTGACCTCGTCAGTGTTACACAACTTGGCAATTAGAAGTAATGGGAAGTTACATATCCAGATATTAAATAGGTTCTTCACTCATCGTTAGTTTAAAGCTACACATAATCTTTCAGAAAGTTAGATATCTGAATTTAGCTTCAAAAAATTATAACATATACATAGTTGCATTATCCTGCATCTATTCTTCCTTGATATTTCATCAGTCACGATGCCTCTTATTTTTTCAGTCTGTATTGCTTTCGCAATGAGATTCACATAGCCCTAGTTGTTTATCGATTTGTAACTTTAAACCGTATTGTTTGTAGCTGATGAGAGACTTCAAGCAAGGCCTTATAGATTATTAATGAAACAGATGTGTGTTATTTAAAATTTCATAGCTTGTGATATTTAATATAGACTCTATACATAAAAAAAGAAAAGCATTTCACATACATAAACCTAATAGTAAAGTGAGTTTAACCCTTTTCGGCCAGGTTTATCTAATCGAATTAGTACCAGTAAATATAAACTGACATGACAGCTGGTCATATAGCGTAGAATAAAAGGTAACACTGGATTGATGATGACTGGATAAAGAATATATTTATCCTGTAAGTTCACTATGCTATCTTACAATTTGCCAAATGAGACAGTAAAGCTAATGGCTAAGGTGTCTCGTCAGCTGAAACCAAGCTCGTCCTACCCAAAATGCGCTTCTACTGTGTAATACTCGTTGTAATGTATTGTATACAGCATGTTTCAAATTCGGCCCTCACCCTCGGGATCTCGGAACCTGTAAGAGGTACGAAGTCGCTTAAATGGGAGCAAAGTTGCTTATTGACGCAAACAACAAAATGCCGATTAGAAAGTTTCGAAATTCAAAGTACCTCCTGAGAGACGGAAAAACCAGAATTTTTTCAAAATCTGTTTAGTACGAGCCCCTTCCCACTTCAGTTGGCCCAACTATTGAAATCTTACTTTTTTTCTTATCAAACACAAATAATAAAAATGTAGCAGGGTGTTATAGGTTTAAAATATTAACAATGAATATTTTGATAATATATAGTAGAAAACACCAACTTTATCACTCCCTAATCAAATTTGCAGCATAAAAATAACAGATGTTGCAATTACAGCATATCAAAATATTTTCATTTCAATGCAAAATAAGTCTATAACGCATAGGTGGCTGTGAAAAATAAAAGCTATGACAATTGTTTTTATTAATCACAGCTGTCGGAATACGCTTAAAATAGTTTTGGGTAGTTCAGGTTTTCAAAATGGGTAGAGGAAAGGTTATTAGTGAGGAAATTCGGTTGCTGATAATTAAATCTTTTAATTCTGGGAAATCAAACTCAGAAATTGCAACTTTGTTAGACTTGCCGCGGTACAGTGTGAGAAATATTGTTAGAAGACATAGCGTAACTGATTCAGTTCATATTAAGCCACAATATGTGATAAAAAGTAATACCACAAATGCCGACCGAAGAGCATAAAGAAGAATAATCGTGAAAAACAGGCGTGCCAATAATCTACAATTAAGTGCTCTGTGGAGTGACGCTGTTGGAAGGAGAATTTCGAGGTCCACAACTCATAGAGAGGACCACAAACTGGGATTTAGCACCTGCAAGGTAAGTTTTCTTATAAAAAAAAGTCAAGTAAAAACCCTACAGTTGCACAACTTGTTTATAGGCCAAAGAAATGCCACTATTAACTCCACTGCAAAAGAAAAATCGGCTTACAGGGGCTAAAGAGTTATTCGTAAAAAAGTGTAGCATTCCATGTTGACTGTCTGAAGAGAAAAGTGGAATTTCCAGCATCCATTATGGTCTGGGGCAGTATGTCATCAAAAGGAGTAGGAAAACCTCATTTTATTGATGGAAATGTGGATACAAACAAATATTTGGCAATTTTAGAAGAATCGCTTTTACCAGTGATGGAAGAATGTTTGACATCCGGCCAACATTTTGTGTTTCAGCAAGATGGTGCAGCGTGCCACACCTCAAAAAAGGCTATAAAATGGATGGGTTTCTAGCAGTCCAGATCTATCACCTATTGAAACTTTGTGGCACGAAATGAAAAAGGTTCTACGACAACATTCTGCTCGTACAATCACCGAACTGAGACAAAAGCTTCAAGAAATATGGGATTGTTTTACACCAAATTTTTGCAAAAACTTGGTTAACACTATGCCCCAAAGAATTTCAGCCGTAATAAAAAATAAAAGTGATGTTACCCAATGGTAATCTTTCAATTGTTGCTTTGTTAACTTGACAGATGTTCTATTAGTTATAGGTCTAAGTGATTTCAAATATGTATTTTTTACGACTCGAGTGTATCTAAAATGTTTCTGAGAAACTAAATTGTTTTAGAAGTAAATAGTTTCGTCATGTTTAGTTTATAAAGGCATATTTTGGTACAAATCTTGAAGTGGGCCAACTGAAGTGGGAAGGGGCTCGTATTTCCTGATATTATTTGAAGTGGGATTTCAAAATAAATTACACATTAACTCTGCCACTTTTTCTCCTCTACAAGAAGGCATATCTGGGATTTCAATATGACGTTTCGTCTATTGTCCTCCAGCATCAACTTTATTTTTTCTTATAGACACCGTACAGGATTTTTGCACAGATGAATAAATTTTTTAATTCTGATTCCAAAAAAGTATAATACGACATTGACATTGTCAATGTTTATTTATTTCAAAAGAAGCGGAATTTCATAGGTAGGCCTTGAAATTATCAGATAGTCATTTGTTTCGCTGAAAGATTTATCTCAAAATCACTTTTACTTTTTCCTGACTCCATTCGAGACTGGATTTCCAAATCGATTGCATCTTGTCTTTGTTACTTCCCGAACTTTGTTTCTTCATATGGACGCTATATTGGAAGTTTCTACATTTAAATGAAATTTTCAGTCCTAAATACGGAGATGTATTTCTTTAGTTGGCCATGAATTTGTTACTGGATCGAAATTATAAGTGAATTCGTATCTCTTAAAGTTTCAGAGATCCCGATGGTGAGGGTCGAAAGTGAAACAACTTGTATATATCCTGAAGAATATGCCCCATTAAGGAAACTAGGAAGCACACATTATGATATGGTATGTTTCAATATACAATACTAAAACAAACACATGTTCTTATTATTTCATTCATTTTACACTGGGATAGAAAATAAACGATGGCACAATTAGCTTCAAATGAGTAAGCTGCTGAAATAACCCTAAATTCAATGAAATCCAGTCTTTATTGTGTTAGATATAAAACTCCACATCGTAGGTTAAACGTTTCCGTGAGGTGTGTTAACTATACCTGCTTTTCTCACAAGCCGAGCTATTTTCTTGGCTATCATTTCATTACTGGGACCTCGGTTGGCCGCGTGGGTCAGAGTGTCGCGCTACTGATCAGCCGGCCGGCCGGGCCGCGATTTCGAATCTCGCCTTCGCCATGGATGTTGTGTGTTTGTTTTAGGCAGCAGCTGTGGCCGCAGTAGTAGACTCTTCGGTCTCCTGATCAGTCGCCGTGCGCTGTGCGGGTTCGAGTCCCGTCCCAGGAGAAATTTTTCTCTTGGCTATGGATGTTGTGATTGTCCGTAGGTGGTAGATAGTCTCTGACTGTCGAACGCGGAGGTACCACCCGGCGGTTCTCGTAGGCGGAGCCAGAATGTGTGCATGTTGCATGCACACGTGTTCCCTCGCCAGAGTCCGTGTGGCGTCCCCCCCTTTTCCCATGTATCCCCCTATAGCCCCACGGTACCCAATGGGTGCTTAGGCGTTAGGCCTTCGTGGTAGTTGGAGTATAAAAATTACTGACACAGCCAACCAGAATACTTACTGTGGCGCCAAGTAAATTGACTGTGAGCTGGTTGTCATCTCAAAGGACCGGTAAGCCACGAAGATATCTTCCTGTTGCAGTCTTTAGAAGTTAATAATTTAAAATTCGTAAACATCCTCCTTCTCTGTGAGACGTACCAGTGGCCAGAAGCTTTGCGGGCATAATATCAAATATTTGTGCTATCGTAATTTACAAGGCCAGCAGTGTGGATGGCAAACAGTCTAACAAGGCAACAAGCATGTCCTTGATTCGAGGGTAAGCCTCGATACTGGAGACAATAAAAAAGCAACGCGATTCTTACAACCATTGCGTGTAAACCTTAGTCGAGTGGCACTTAAGCCGCACCATAATTGAAACAGCTGCTCCAAAAAACGCCTGTACTGTTGTTTGGATGTGGCGTAACTACGATATGATCAGGGCTTAGCATAATAAGTTACGTACAGGTACAGGTGAACTCCATACTTACGTGTAACAATTAAAGCGAAGAGGATATGCCCAATGATGAATGGTACCACGTTATCTCCGCTGTAGTGGATGATGGCTATCAATGTCCCTAATACATAAAGAAGGACTGCAGCAGGATTCAGAATCAACCATGGGATGACAAGGACAGGCCGATTCTAAAAAAAAAACAGTTGAGCTAGTATAGGGTAGCTCGAGTATCATGTGGGTATCAACATCTCTGATCTATCCTTTGAGGTCAGAGTAAAATACTTGCAAGCACAGGACTGCACTTTAAAATCGTAGCAACTAACCTTAAAACCTTAAAAATGTTCACCATTATTATGCAGTTATATCAACTTTCGTAGATGACAAATGTGGTTTAGGTATTTATTGTACTGATTGCGCCTGGTGTACAGGAAATTTTACTAAGCACAATAAACTATCTATACAATCTAATAAGCTTTTTTATGCATGTAACATACATACCGTTTCTGCAGCAAATATCAGCAAAATGGAGAATACACACTGGAACGCACTTCCCGTTGCTATGGTAATGAGAATTATCCTTAGAACTGAAATGTAAAAAACAATATTGTGAATTTATTTGTATCTCTTACATCTACTTGTGCGGTTAAAAGGAGGCTATCTGACAGTAACCATGAAAATCAGCATGACCTTGACTTTCAAGATACTTTGAATGCCGATCTCAAAATTTCAAATACAATTAATCGTTTTAAAGCCGGAAATGAAAAAGCGGGGATCAGATTTGATATTTTGAATCTCATGATCAAGTTTCAGTTCCACCGGCAGTTGAAGGAGAAACGGCAATATCGCTTTACCTCAAAAGTGTTTCAGACAAAAATTATAGAATGACAACGAGACTAACAACTTCAACAAGGTCACTTGGAGGAGGACTTTTGGGAAATATTTATTTCTATCCGGGAAATGAGACCGATGAAAATTTTATGATCACATATGAATCTCTGACGTCAAGGTTCAGAAGTCAAGATGGTTTCAAGACTGTGGGCTAACAGATCTAGTCCTTGAAACGTGACGAAATTATATTGATCTAAACATTCCGGGTTCGCCAATCTCACTTCCGGGGTCAAAACGGGGATATCGGTCAAAATTATCAAGTTTATTTTCAAATACTCGATAGCCGAAGTGAGAGTCAATCAATATCATATCTCATCGCGAAGCCTAACGCTTTTTTCCACTCCCAGCGTCATTGCACCTTCAAATGTCAGAATAAATACCTTGCCCTATACAAAAATCGGTACATTCCTGGATCTGTTTTTTATTCTCTATCCTTTAATTGGTTCTTTTAGAAAAAGGAATCCAATATATTCAATTTACTACTCTCCTTTTGTCCTTTCTTTCAGCTCGCAATAGATTCACTTTATGATAAGCAATTGTACGATTAAGATATTTCTAAAACTTCGTAACCTACTACTCCTTAAGTATGATTACCTTTGACATCAGGAACAATAGAAGGATCTGACATAGTAATCAGCTCATGGGGATTTTCTGCATACGCTGCTGATAAGACCAGGAACATGAAAGCGCCTATACTTTGCATTACTCCAATGATGATCGTTCTGTGCTTCAGGTTTAGACTAGGGAATATCTTTGTTTCGGTAGCCATTTTATTCTGAAAAATGAACCAATCATCAATGAAGGTAGAGTTAATGATCAGTAAACGCCAAAGCCCGAAGACGACGACGGTGGTTGCGATGCTGTGTGTTGGTGAAGACTAGGATTTTCGGACCCGGGTACCCAGGTCGGGTATATCCGGGTATCCAAGAATTTTTGGGACCCGGGTAACACTTGACCAAAAATCCGGGTATCAATAAAAATTGGGAAAGGTGATTTTCCAACTACTGGAGCTTCAGAGAAAGGTGCATTGGGATCTTCCTTGTTGAGAATGACCCAACAAAACCTAGAAAAACTTTGTCCGCAATGAAAAAAACAATTTTTGGAATTTGTTTATAAGAATTGTTCCAATAATATTTGACGCTGTTCGTTACCTGGCAGCTTCATTAAAAGATATTCCTTTGAATATCATTATGCAGTTAAACCGATTCCGATTTTTTATCGAGCAGATGCTCGAAGATACTTCCGGTACTTTTCGTGTTCAAAATCTTGGAAGTAAGATTGTGGTCACTTGTCATGCTCATGTTTTATTATAGACATACATCTTTCGCGATGAATAAGCTCCCGGTGATTAGCGACATTACATTTGTCGTGAAGATGTAATAGGTTGGTATAAATCATGGTAATACAGGTATAAGCAACGTGACATTATTTATTTATTGCTTCTTATACATGTACTTACTTCAGATGAATTTCTAGAAAAAAGAAATTTGTACGGAAGAGCTTGGTGGCGTTCTGAAACCAAAGTTGCACAGGCTTCCAGGATAACATTTTATCTGTCAATCCAAATTTCGCTACTGTGTACGGTATTACATTACATAAGTAATTTACGAACGCACCTCAGCTGATGATCCGAACGCCGGACATTGTCAATTTTGCAGTCGCAGTGGCGTCTTGATAGTAAACACGTTTCGCCCGTTTCGACTTTACAATTACGCACAGAAAACGAAAAGCTTGAGAATACGGACATTCTATTACTATTATTATTCTATTAAGAAGTTTATTTTTTTATGTATAAAGATATGTTTGAATGGACCAAGCTGATGGATAATATGATGCTTTATTTACAATGAAAATACCCTGGTACGGCCTGGGTATCCAGATATTTACAAAAATATCCGATGCACAGGTATCAAAAAAATCCTGGTACGCTAAAACCCTAATGTAAACAATGTAAACTAATTAACAGTACTGCCATGCAACTTTTGTATTGCACTATTGCAGCATCCACAATTTAAATTACGATATTTGTTGTGTGGCGGAAGATATCTTTAAAAAATTTCAATAGCAATGAAAACAAAGTTAACGTGTACTCATCTTTTCAGATTTACTAGCTTATCCCATAATATACGAGAAATACTGATATGAGGTACTGCTGTTCAGCATCTGCCAAAAGGCTAACTCGTGATATAGTCTTCTTGATTCCATTTTTTATCTTGTAACCAGACGTTGGTCACTCTCTGTAGAGTGATGAATATCTATATTCTATATTCTATATTCACCAAAAGAGTGAAAACTGCCTTAATATCAACTTTGCCTGTTCGACATTATAAGAAACTTTTACTTTCTTCTATACACAATAGCAAATTTTATTTCCTGCGCATGCAAACCAGGAATATCATGCACCAAGTAAAGTGAAAGTTCATTCAAAACTCATTAGGATCATGTGCACTATGCACAGTTATCGTGATAGGCATAACCGTATTGGAAATGTTATGTACATAAACTGTTATCAAAAATACAAAACCTTAACAATGACTCAAATTCCTAACAGATAAGAAGACACTTTGCCTTAGAGGTGCCAAATGGCTGTGGAATTTGAGTTTGTGGCTTGTACTGGGTCCTAGCACTACTCACATTACAAATGAGGAAGTGTGGACGTTTGTTATTCACTCACGCCAAAGTGAACCGATCTGGATGAAAATTGGTGCAGACAATAACAGACGGCATTTAGGCGGGGTTGTAGATACTCAAGAACTTTTGAGTGCTTTTTCCCACAATGTGAGGTAATATTAGACCCTCCCCTCAAATTCGGCCTCCAAAAAATCCTAATGTATCTGGAAATCATATTAGGCATAATGGGAAGGCTGTCATTAGGTTGGTGATCTATGCACCGGATTTACCCAAGAGACGTTTGAGTTTTCTTTTGATGACATTTTAGTTTTGCATATTCACAGTACATTTCTTACAATGGGCATGTGTCTTTACAGGTAACAAACTCAAGCCTCGCTCTTGTATCTTGTTATGAGCAAAATTCGAGTTTGTTACTTCTCGCGCTTAAGCGACGTATCAAACAATTTGGGATCCCAACGTTTTGAAAGCTTTGTTACTTCACGAACTGTCACGCTTTAAATTTCCAGCAGTTTGTCTGTCTGTAACTAGCTCTACGTAATCCGTGGGTCGATTGGAGGTTAGTAGGCGCGTTCAGGTAAAGACAGCGCTATGGTACCTTATGTTAGCAGCTAGTTGAATAGTAAGGACACTGTATATAGTGCTCATTGTTTGTGCATTCTTCATTCAACTACAATAACAATCACAGAAAGGTCAATTGTGTGTCGTATTTTCGCGAATGAATTTTAAGTGTGAAGGTTGCCATTTACACGAAGGATTTTGCACGATTGATAGTAGACTTCCATTTCTTCTCATGCTTAGACTATTGCATGTCTCCTTCGTGTCGCAACATTATCAGAATTGAAACTTTGTTTGACTGTACGTAAAATAATGAACAAAGTATAGGTCAAGTGGGAAATTGATATACTTACTACCTCCTAAATTAAGATAAATTAGGTTACAGGCGTTGTGCTCCACCCTGGTCAAGTACCTCATCGTAGGATTCTCTACCTTTTTGATGATAGGAAACACTTCCATACGCCTTTTTATAGTATTAGTATATTCAGTGCACATTCTGCATATTAATATAGAGTAGACTGTCCTGTATATTTAGGATACAGGGTGTTCTGTGACAGAATAGACATACTTAAATAAATGAATATATCTGAAAATAAAATAAGTCTGACTTTGACAAAATGACAGCTGGCAAAGTACACTAATATCGAAATAATAAATAAAATCACTGAAGCGTTAGCCTGTTCGTCAGACCCCCTCTCAGAATGTTGAGGAAATAGGACTCAATATCCTATAAAGGTCATGGCTGGCCTTTTGCCTGGCCCTATTAGCCTGCTGTCAGCTCCTTCTAATCTCGCCGAAAGGTGACTTTCGGTCTGAGCATAGTACGAAGCTAATAGGCAGTCAGGTTGGAGGCATGAATACCTCCTTTATAAATTGATCCAAAAGGATTTCCATCCTGGCTTCAAAGGTACAAAATTTTAAATCAAAATTATTAATGTACTGTCCACCACGTGGCCTGCCTGGGCCGGGGTCCCTCAGGGTTTTTTCCTTTGACCAATCCTTAATTTTTTGTTTATTAATGGCGTCCCGAGTGCCAATAAAGTCTTTCTGTATGCTGATGACACTGCATTAGTGGTCTAGTCTTATTCTGGTGTCCTAGACCATGCTGGCTATAATGTACGATGGAAGAAGTGCTAGAGTGGACAGATCTATTGTACCAAAAGGCGTCGTGATACCCCGTCAGAGATCTCCGTGGATCTGACTCTGGCACAATGGAAAAATTCCGCCAGATATCTTGGAGACGGAGAGATATATAAAAGACTAAATTCCACGTTACATTTCGGCAACCGTATCACTCATTATGTAGATCTTCAAAATTGGTTAGCACAATTCGGCTTTACAAACTGATCATAGCTGTATTTTTTGTTACTTGCTATCTAAATGCATTCTTTCTTATTCTTTTTCTCTTTCACTTTGTCTGGTCTCTGGACAACCAGACCGTCAGATTGGCAAACTGACCCACATAATTTGATTCTACGACAAAGGTCCCACAATCCGCCTTAACAGACGACAAAACAAAATTAATAGTACTGTTTAAATGATCTATCAAAATAAGACAGTACAAAGTGCCATCTATTATCAGAATTCACCACTGCAATAGTGAACCGCAGCTATTGGTTGAAACTGTAGAGATCTCAGCTCGCGACTAATAGCTCATTTTGACCGCTAGAGGCTTACGATTTTGGTGGTCTCAGGTGGAACGATGACGTTATCTTGTAATCCAGGTCTGAGATCTATGAGTATACATGAACTGATGATTTTAGCTCGAAGTTAGCGGTACTGGTATTAATTATATCAATGTTGAAATGCAAAACTAATCATCGCAAGGAACTATATCATTACCTAACCGCTTCGTTACTATACAGCTAAAAATGGGCTAATTATTTCAAATTGGTTCGTGCATATACACATATGTATGTAGCGCTTCAGTTCCAGTAGATAGGTGAACTCATACTGTGTATCCATCATATTTGCAGACTACTTGTTATTCTCGACCCATAGCTGCTATTTCCAAATTTGATACAAAGAATGCTGGGTGTGGTTGGAGCTAGGTTGATTTACCTGATATGGCAGAATGAACGAACATACATTTTCGACGGTTTCGTGTTAAAATTTTCTGAATAGCACTGCTTCTTATATTTCTCGAATGGCAGTACGCTTAATATCTCCAAAAATACTTGAACTATGGTCTTAGTCTTGACATTATCTACTGCCTTGCAGTGGAGTGACCACCCCTAGACCAGTGGATGTTCAGAAACTGCAAAGTTAGTCAGTTGTTTTACTCAGTCGCAGCCCAGTATATTATAGGGTGTCCAAGCTAAAGTACCTCAGAGTCACAGCAACTAATTAGTGGTAGTAGTCTTTAAAAATGAATAGGGACCTTTCACGAACCAAAGATTTAGGAATAGTTGGAGGTCTCTGACCTTACATCTACAACTTTGAAAAATGTGTAGGGTATCTTTAATATTATTTCTGTCGCTATTTGCTTTAAAAAGAATGCATTATTCACCTACTAAGTATTGTTTGTTTACATCATTCTTTTAAAATAACAAAAAATAAACCATACAGATAAACTTAAAAATAGCTTAAAGTATAGTACTAAACCATTATTGTAAAATACTGTTTCCATCATCGGTCATTATAGTCTCCACTTTCTATTATTAGGGATGCCTGCTGTTAAATAACATGTGTAGTTTCTCTTTTAACTTTGACCTGTATTCACACCATGCCATCCGTTTTATTCTTAATTCACATGTTACCGCGGGATCTATCAAAGCTTTACCCACGCTTACCTTCTGGTTGATAGGAATCCAACAAAACAATATCTAAAACTACCAATATATCACTCACTATCACAATATTCAATTGAACAGTATTTGAGTTGTTGTCTCTTCGTCTGCGCAGCACAGGCTGATCAGTTTCGGCTTAGCCAATCCTGCTGCGTATTATTATATAGTACAAGCAACACAGGCAATCAAGCAAGAAAAAGTTGCTCATATCCGAAGTCGTGGTACATCGCCAGTGAGATGGCTGGACGGTATTCAGCAGGCATTGAACACAATCTTCTTCAATATGCTCGCCCAGAATGTACCACCTTCTCTGCGCTATCGCAGAAAAGAAACTGTAACTACCCCCCGGCTGCTCAGTTGAAGGCGTGAGGCTTGAAGACATGATGTAGGGCAAAAGCTGATAATGGCATGGTGAGAGGGTAGAAGACAGAACAGGAGCAAGCTGGTATCTAAGAAATTTTTACCACCAAAAGCATTTTCATTACATCTTCAGTGAAAACTACATCTAGCTACGTTAGATGATAAACAAAACACTTGTCTTTACCAGCCGAGGCTTGGAGGGGCTTATTGTTGTCGCATAGGATGCAAACACGTCCCTCCTAGACTGACAAGTATGGGTCCCAGGTCATAGGTCTAGAAATAGTGAGTCTAGTCGTAGCTAAAACTAGTGTGCCGTAGGACATAGATTAGGGCAATCATTTTGCCTAATAGGACACACACATAATTGAATTTAGCACATCAACTGTACGTCGTCAACAGGAGGAAATTGGAAAGTGCTGTATTTATGATGAAAGAAAGAGATCGTTCTGCACGTAGGTGTCGTTATTAAGGTTGGAGAGTGTTAATATGCACAGTGATGGGAGATATGGATTTTAGAAACGGTTGAATCAGTACCTCGGGCATAGAGCAAACGATTAGGACTACTAGAGTAGAGACAGTGGCACAATAACAGTGAGGTACTACGATGAGGCAGTCGAGGATACCTCGTGAATCCAGTTGAAATGGAGCATAATAAAAGGGAAGATGAATGAAGTGAGTTTAAACATGTATAGAAGATGTCCAGACCTCCAAAATCGTGTCGCTATGAGACTGACTGTCAAGGAAGTTTCACCAATCAATCACCAAACATGGTAGCATAATTGGAGTACTAGCACCAGTGACCAGAACACTAAGGGCCATATCGTTAGTCAGTAGGACGCACTTATCGCCTCCTTGATTTTCATAGTCTTATCTTTCCTTCAGAAAGGCTGGTGAATTTCTATATTTCTACTGTTCCTTGTCAGCGTCAGCCGTCTCCTATTGTGAGACTATGCTTTCTTTTGGAATTGTAGGAAATTTCAGGCTGATATAACAGACGATATAAGTCAAAAGCATAAATATTTTGATGCAAATAGATATTTGTAACGTAACCTTAATAGAGCGCTGATACGGAGCGCTAGTGAACTATGAGGATCAAGGAAGCCATAAAAGTGTCCTACAATAGTTGTAGGAACGACTGACGATACGGCCCTAAGTCTTATCTAGGTCTTGTACTGAGTAAGGAAGCTGAAATATAAAATACCTGCCAGTACTGAGAGATGATTTTGTTTCCTTTCAATGGTCGCTCCGATTAATCAGACGTGTATGTAATCGGTAATCGTGAATTTGAAATGGGCTTCTTGGCAAAGATCGGTCTTTTGTTAAGCCAGCATTTGGGTTCGGATGCCACTTATCAGTAAATAAAAGTGAAAGTAGGTACACTGCTGTGTCTTGAAAGTATACCACTATTTTGAAGTTCAGCCGCAGAGGTCCGACACTCTGAATGCCTGCATGTTAAGTGCTGTGCGTCATTATTAAAACGATCTGTTTGTGGACAAAACCGTGAAAGAATGCCTAAGGCACATTTTACATCTTTCGGAGCGGCGTGATACTCTTGCTACGTCCATTATTTAGCGTCGAATGAGGAAGTTGTCTAAATTGACTTGACTGTATGGCTTCCAGCAGGTTCAAGAGCCAGCAGACCGTAACACTACACCGTACGTCGTGGATAGTATCGTCTGTGGAACCCAAGTAAAGTGAGCGTTTGACTGAGTCATCAAGCGGAACCTCGCTTCATGTTCATATTAATTTTAAGGTTGTTGTACAACAATATTGACTGTTTTCGTTTCTAGTTATGCCTCGCTTTCAAAACGCAACATCAAGTACGCGGTATATCATTTTTATTGATGCTACTGCTACTTTAAACTAACTGAATATAAATAAATACAGAGTATTACGATCAGTATACTTAACGAGAGCCAATTTAAACATTTACGAGGGAGTAAGTAAACAAATATATTTGTGCTTGAAAGTTTACTAGATTAGCACAGAATCAACAGTATGTATCATAGTTGATATGTGTTCCCAAAACGCCAATGGTGACATCAGGGACGACACCGATACTGGAGAAGGAAAACGAGAACCAGAGACTTTTGAAGATAATTGCAGACCAAGCAGCCCAGACTCAGGGACTGACTGACTATGTGGAGTCACTTAATGCCCAGGTGTTTACGCTTACAAGTATCATTCATAAAACAGTTCCCAATGTTGATTCTTCCAAAACAGCAAAACGTAGACATAACAGCCATTCGAGTGACCTACATACTGAGACCGATGAGGACACACAGGGTAATCTTTTCACACCTGTACGACGTCGCAAAGTGAGACTTCGCAAAACAGAATTTCCTCCGCTACCGACGAAATCCCCAAATAACAAACATTCAGGCAGCCTAAAACCGTCTGTGCCTGTACCCTCTACCGCTTCTACTAGTCAGCCAAGGGAAAGACCTTTATCAGCATCCACACAGAGTGCTCCTCCTGTTATACCCAAGTGCAGTCTGATCCATTGGCAGGCTGCAACTCATCTTCCTTGCCTCTAAACACACAGCCCCAATCGCCTCGTCAGGTGCGTATTACTCCAATCGTGTTGAGAGATGTTACAAAATGGCACACCTTAAACTATTCCTTTGTAAATCTTGGTATTCGTATTGAACGAGCAGTCGCCGTTGACGCTGGGATACGTATCATCCCCAAAACCGAAGACGATTATCGCAGGATAATCCGTCTTTTCAAAGAGGAAAACATTCCTCATCACACTTTCCCTTTGCCCACTGAACGCAACATCCATGCGGTTATCAGAGATATCCCAGCATCAGCCACCGAACAGGAGGTCAAAGGTGAGCTAGAACAGAAGGGTTACGCTCCCTTTCACATCATTCGCCTAAAGCGCAACGCCGGCGTGCCCATGCCCTTGATGGTGGTGATCCTGCCTAAGATGGAGAAGTCACAGCAAGTGTTCAACGAGCACGAATTGCTGGGGCTCTCTATCAGAGTCGAAGTTCAGAAGAACTCTCGACTCATTGGACAGTGTCACCGCTGCCAGAAGTATGGACACGCACAGTCGTATTGCACTGCGCCGCCAAAGTGTCTAAAATGTGCCCAAGACCACATGACACATATGTGCCTTCAAACAGGACAAGAGGTTCGCAGATGTGCGAACTGTGGGGGGACCTTCCGGCAAATAGTCCGACCTGTAGATTTACTCCTAGGAGAAATCTACAAGTCATCGCAAAAAGGCGAGTAAAGTTCTACGCGGACGCAGCAAGAGACGACACCTCAACTGCCCCTGCTGTTTCGAGCTCATCAACGACTACTCAAAATGTGGACCTAGCAACAGCGCTCAGGTCCCTACAGCAGATTATCAGTCCCCTGATAAGCGCCACTAAGGCATTGCAGGTGATCTTTCCGCTAAATAAATGGCTAGGTACAATAGCAGACAGCCTGAATTCATCAAAATTCTTTTCTGGAATTGTTTGGGTCTTAGAGATGTCCCCAAAAAACGGGAATTTCATCAAGCTCTTTTGGATGAGAACGTAGATGTAGCTCTGCTGCAGGAAACATTGCCTAATCCGGGAGATCGTCTAGCTTTCCCGAATTATGATATTATCCGCGCTGATAGATTAACTGGACGGGGTGGCGGTTTGGCAGTACTAGTTAAACGTGGTATTGACTATTACAGAAGCACAAACGCTGAGATGCAGAGCATCGAGGCAACTTCCGTGGTATTGAATATGACGGGAGGTATCTCGTTGAAAATCACATCGGTTTATGTCAGATGTGGTGCCAGGCTGCAAGACACGGATCTGGAAGTCCCGTTTGACTGCTCAGGTCCGCTTATTGTAGCAGGGGACTTTAACTGTAAACATCGAGCATCGCACTCTACGTTAAATTCCACCAGTGGGATTCAACTTTACAGCCATGTGATACGAAACGGCTACCTCATACACAGCACTGAGGAGCCGACTCACTACCCATTTAATCACCTTCAGGCACCAGATGTCATTGACTTCGCGATATCTAAAAACTGTAGATTCAGTGTCACTCGAATCATGTATGACATTTTGAGCGATCATCTTCCTATCGTACTGGAAGTGGGTAATGGGCGAACCTTGGAAGGGGAAACTCTTCCAAGGAAAAGGGTTGATTGGGAGCTCTACAAGTCGCTCCTTAGAGAGTTCCTCAATATCCCGATCATAGATGATGAGAACGATATAGATGCTGCTCAAGCGGAGTGGACAAGTTCCGTTCAGCAAGCTCTGCAGCGTGCAGCTGTACTACCAGTACGACGGCACGGCAGACCTTTTCTCCCTGCAGACATTCGTCAGAAAATTTCTGACAAAAGAGCTGCAATTAAGCAATCGAAGAGGTCTTGTCACCCAGATGACATTCACAGAGCAACGAATCTTGTTCATGAAGTGAGAAATGCTCTTCATGAATTCCGTAATGAGCAATGGAGCGACTTTCTGTCGGGGATGCTTGACTCTAGTATTCCTCTCTGGAAAGTTGCAAAGTCGCTCAGAAACGGAAAGCGAGAACAACTCCCGCATATCCACGGTCATAGGGGCATAGCCTCTAGAACAGAGGAAAAGGTCGAGGTTTTCGCTGATGCAATGGAGAGTCAGTTCTCTCCCAACTATGACCTTGATAACGACTTTGACGAGGAGCAACATATTGTAAGATCCGTCAGGGGATATTTTAGGGCCCACGGCGCCTGTGGCAGTAGTGCCTCCCTTAGTGATTTTTCCTCAGAGGAATCTTCAGAAGATTCCTCAATTGAAGAGCTGCACGGCATATCAGCGGA